AACAGGTAACCTCCTGACTCAAATCTCATCAGGTTTCCTTCCCTTCTGGAAGACATTTTAAGTTTGCCACCATTTATCTAAAGATGCCAAAATAAGAAGCAAAGCACCCTGGTTTTGGCTGATGCGTCTCACACTGAGCCAGAGAAGAGAAAAGCAGAGTTACGAGTCCTGACGCTGTGCCCTCAGTTTGCTCCGTTAACACAGGATCAGGCACTTTCCATCTATGGGTTGGGGGAAAAAATGAATAAAAATGGTAAAAAGCCTACGCCTTACCTGCCCTACAGCTTACAGAGTCAGGCACTGCGGTATGACACGAAAGAAAGTCAATCCACGGGCAGAACTTCTCAGTCTTCATAGTTAGCATTTCCCAATGCATGGTGTATGTTGACTGTATTTTCCGCTCTCTGAGGCCTGGGGTTTGAAAACTGACAACTCTTCGCTCAAATTCCCTTTCCACTCTAAATGCCATTTAATGGCAGTGTAACTAGAAGGGTCAAAAATCAGCTCTCCCTTGGTAATGGCCCCTTCCAGAGTCGAGGGCATGGCCCCTGCTGAGAGAGAGAAGAGCTCCCAGTTTCAGCACGGCCGTTCACAAACACTGGGCTTTCTCGAGAACAGCTCTTACAGAAACTCTAAACACCGAAATGCTCTCGAGAGTACAGCTTGTACTGATGATAAGAGAAATGAATCAAATTACTAGAAGGCAGGTAAGAGTCTTAAAAAAGGGCTTAGTTCAGTGCTGGACTTCTGACATTAAAAAAAATAAAAACTCATTTCACGTGTCTTCATGATGCATTTATTTATGCCACTGTGCCTCCTCTTTACCTTACACCAATTTGGAAAATCAACAAAAACCACCTCCTCTGTTTGCTTAACAAGGTGAAGAGCTGATGCTCTGTATCAGAGTCTTAGGGACACTTGGTTATATCTACGATTCTGCTGCAAACCCAAACTGAAATAAGATCCTTCTAATACGTGTTGATCCATTAAATAGGCTTCATAATGCACACACTTCCTCTCCTCTTTTGGGGGGTGCAGAGGGTGGGGAGTGATGCTAATTCCATTATCAAATCCCAATTTAAATATCTTTGAGGTCAAGGTCATTATTTAATGTCTTAAAAAATACTATGCATCTACAAGAAGAAAATTACGTAAGTCCAGGGAGGATGGTTTACACTGGCAAAATGCTGATGTTCGAACGCCATCAGCAACGTCCGTGTACTCGCAGGAAGTTCCTGGGGGCAGACCGTGGTACAGAGCTAGGACCAAATACTGGATATAAATGGAAATCACGTTGATGGTGTTCTCTTCCTGCTAGGGCGGTCTTAATTTCTATAACAATCACACTATAGATGGATTTACTTCTGGAGATAGCATGGTTCATTAAGCCCTGCATGTACCATAGAGTACCCTTGGGAACTGCACTGGACAAAGGCTGTAAAAGTTACTGCTCAGTCTACACCTCCGGGAAGGTGCTTCCCTTTCTTAATGAGTATTCCCATTAAGTTAAAAAATAGAAATAGATGCCTTGGATGACTCTGTGCAAAAGCTCAAGTGCAGATGAACCATTAAAAACAGATACAGTTTATGACAGCCATTAATCTAGGCATTAGTTGGACTTCGAAGGCAAAGCACATCTCTGATGCACGTTCTTAAGTATCAGCATTTTGGGGGTTTTCTTACGAGGTCTCCCCCAGACACAAATAAGAAACAGATCTGAGTTAGTTGAATGTGGCCATAACCTAAAACTCAACAGAGATCCCCTGAAGAACCTGACACCAAAACTGTTCTGTTTCATTCAGGAGCTGGAAAAAATGAGATTACATAATCCTGTGATCCATGGCAGCACTTCAAGCGACATTTTCCTGTGCTGGGGCTAGGGACTGACAAAGTACCATTCACAGAGGGAACATCAGGAATGAAGTTCCACAGAGAAGGTAGGAATACAGATTTTTAACATTTTTATTACACAGTAAAGAATACAACAATACCTGAATCATACTTTAAAAGATTCACAGGTTGACAGACCATACATTACAGTCCAACTAAAGAAAAAAAGGATAAACAAGAAACCACAGTTCAGACATAGTAGACTTAAAAGCTCAAGAGTATGCTGACAAAAGCACAATGCCTAGACCCCACCCCCCCTCAGTGTTAGTCTACCATTAACTTGTGGTACATGTCTGAATTCAGTATTGCACAACAACTTTTCTTTTTTTTTTTTTTTTTTTTTTTTTTTACGATAATGTCGGGGAACCCAAAAAAAAAAAATAAGAAAGAATT